CACTGGCTGCTTAGTCCATAGTACTCTAGTCAGAGCAGACGGGCAATGTCCATCCTGGGCTTTGTGGAAGAATGAGGCTATTGTTAATGCTACCTGCTGCAGATTTTATCACGGGCCTATAAATGTCTCCAACTTCAAGTTCACTTGAACGCAAACAGAAGTATAGGCAATGGCAGTCTCCCCCCCCACACACACACACATTTCTTAAAACACCTCTATGGCTTCTTAGCTTTATTCTTCTTTTAAAGGCATTAGATAGTTATTCTCTTGGTGGATGAGAGGGGCCAGGTTATGCTTGGTCTGTGAAGCCCAAACTTTGTTCTGTAGCTGCCATTAGAAGCTATGACTGCCATTCCATCCTTTGTCTTAACTGTAATGAAAATGTACCGGCTGTTGAAACCCAGCACTTTAACCTTGAATATGATTTCTGTGTTTGTGTCCTTTGCAGAGTTAGTATGAACTGATCTTTGTAGCCTGAAGTCACAGAGCAGATTTTTCTGCAGTATGCAGTACAGCCTGCAGACATGCATTTACAGACAGCAGCTTCAAAGAGTGCCTTCAACTGTGGGGATTCAGTCGGTCTGTTTTAGAAGCCTTGTATGGATTTGTAAACTGTAATACTCTTCACCTTTGGGAGGACACATTCTCTCTCTCTCTCTCTCTCTCTCTCTCTCTCTCTCTCACACACACACACACACACACACACACACACACACAAGTGAAACACAGTTGATAAGAAAACAGTAATTATTTTTCTCTTATTGGAACACATTTTGGTCTATGGTCATTAAGAAACTATATTTTAAGAGGAAATTATTTTTAGAATTCTACGATGGTGTTACTCTTAAATGATTTTCATAGCATATAGCTTAAATCTGAATGGAATATTAAAAGGTTCTAGACTTCAAGTTTTCAGTAATTCACTTTGTCCAAATACAACCAAAACATTTAGTTTTGTATACATTTAGGATTCAGCGGGATGCCAGAAAGCAAATGTTTTTAAACTGTTCAAATGGGTAAAATGCTAACACATGACACACCAGTCAATAATTAACAAACACAATTGATCTGCCTATTTGACTTAGGTTTTATTGATAATCCGATATGTGTCTGTTACTAGCCAGACATTGACTTAAAGAATGACTTTCTGGGCTGGTTGGCTGCCTGGGCATGTCTAGAGAGCTTGATGACCGTATAGGCCTGACCACCAGAGTGTGGTCCCCAGAAGCTGACTTCCCAGAGCTGTCCTCCCTCTGACTTTCTCCAAGTGCCATGCAATGGTGTGACTACACCTCCTGCACACCTATACATATCATATACAGAGCATACAGATCATTGCCATGCAATGGTGTGACTACACCTCCTGCACACCTATACATATCATATACAGAATACTAATACATAGAGTTTTCAATGGCTGTACATTATAATTAACCTAACTAAATGGCTGCTTTTATAATTAACCTAACTTCGATATGTGTCTCTTTCTCTTGGGGGTGAATTACTTTAATGAAAATGTCTGAGGTCTTGGTGAGTCTAACCAGAAGCCCCCTAGCCTTAGCTACATGGCATTGAGCTCAACATTGATTGAATAAAATAATGCTTATTATTTTTGTGAAGAAATATAGTGTAGGAGAATTTTTTTCTTTTTATAAATTAAAAAATTACCCTGAGATTTCTAAATATCTGACATTTGCAGATACCTTTGTTGGTGACTAACACTTGTACACTTGTAAGAACAACTTCATTTCAATGTGGATAAATGGGTTATTGATGTTACGTGTTTTTTTTTTTTTCCCCTGCCTACAGATATTTTTAGGTGTTAATTGGAAATTGCATGAAAGTTTGCTTTACATTTAAATTTGTGGTTTGGGAAATTATGATCATTTTTGAGGCTTACAAGTATTACCTGATTATAAACAGTAAGTTTCATTGTAAGCCCTTTTACTGTTTTGCATCATATTTCCATGTTACCACTGAGCTCTTTGGAAAGCAGAAAAAAGAGGCCAGCTTTTCCAATAGTCACCTGTAACCATAGCAGAGCCCAAGTGGGCCTTGCCCCTGGATACAGCTTCAGCTGCTTCTGGCAGCTCTCGTGGCTTCTCCATTATTTCCTAGGAGACTGTAGATGCAGTGACTTCAGTAGCATGTGATCCGAGGAAGACAGCTGGGGAGATGTCAAGGGCCACCCAAGTTTGTGACCCTGACGTGTATTGTGCCCACCACTGGCCACGACTAAGCACATCTCTTAGCAGTCTTCTAGAAATGAATCTGTCAATAGTGTCCGTGCAGGCTTGGCTAAAGGGCCCTTCATCCTCCTGCTGAAGGGCTGGGCGGGTCAGGATATGCAGGGCCTTCAAGGCCCTGTTGAGGATCCTAGGCTATACTGTATGAGCACCCAAAGTCTGCAAGAAAAGATGTGAACACAGGGTGATAGGGTCAAATTTGCATTGCTCAAAAATCAATGTGTCCTCCTCAACATTGGATATAAATAGGTGGGATTGGGCAAGGCTGATAATGAGTCGCTGTGGTAAAAGTTCAGCTTGGGTTAGGCTGCTGAAGACAAATACAGAGAACTGGGAGGCTTCAGGGATATTAAGTGGTGGGAAAAGAAAAGACCTGTGATGCCTCATACAAGACATGCAGTACTGATTTGTGTAAGACATGGACTGTTGACTTGTGTAAGAAAGATGTGTAGTACTCATTTGTTAGGACATGCAGTGCTCACTTGTTAGGGTGTGCAGTGGTCATGTGTGTAAGGTGTGGAGTGCTCATGTCTATAAAACATACAGTGCTTCTGGAAGACATGCAGTGCTCATTAGAGTATGGCCATCTTCTGAGATGTGCATATTGGAGAGTGAAGATCAGGAACTGGGGTTTGCTTGTGCTAAATAGCTTGCAGCATGGATCTTGAACGTAGCAGAGATCAGAGCTAGAAGTGAATTCCATTAGAGGAGATGCCCTCAGAAAAGAACGTAGACAGGGCAGAGGCAGGACATGGTGGAGAAAGAAAGAGTCAGATACATTGAATTTCCTGCAGTGGGTGACATAACTGACTGGGTTAAATCCAGCTGTAATGTAGCCCTTGCCCTTGTCTGCCTGCAGGTGTGTAGCCAGTGGATTATCAGAGGGAATGCACATTGGACAGGGGCATTGAGCCTGGAACAGTGAAGCAGTGCTTACCTTCCAGTAAAAAGCTTTGCAACAAATTATGTGGCCATGTTCTGGGCATTTTGCACAGACGTAGACTTATGTGTTATATTGTTTGGCTCATATTTTCTAGATGAGCAACTTTTTAATAAAATGTGTAATGTCCTACTGCCACTAGCAACCTTTGACCCCCCCCCCCCCATCAAGATCTTCTTCAAGCACACTTGTAATCCCAGCACGTAGGAGGCAAAGGCAGGAGGGTCTCTGTGAGTTCGAGGCCAGCCTGGTCTGCAAAGTTAAGTTCTAAGACAGCCAAAGCTGCCTTGGGAGAAGAAAATCTGCTTCAGTCAGGTGTCTTATGATTCTCAAACGTGCTCAAGTCAACTCCAATTTCCCCCACTAATCTTTTCTGCCAATATTCCCATCAAAATAAAGCCGGACTCACTTTAGTTCTCCATTGTCCCTCATCTGCATGTCCAGTCCCAAACCAACCATCAGTTTCTGCTCTCGGGATGTGTCTTCTGCCTGTGCCCCTGCCCACTGCCTCTACTCTGGTCCTGACTGGGTCCATTCCTGGTCTGAATCACCAAGGACCCTCTTAACTAGTTTTCCCAATGCTCCCCCTTTTCTGAGACATTCTCCACATGCCTATTGAGTGTTATTATAGAAGAAGTGAGATCATTTTGTTCCCCATTTCAAAACCTGTTTCCTTTGTGTTTAAGGGAAAATTATACAAACCCCAGAATACATGGTGCCAGGGCCTGCCAATTCCCTGCTTTCCTACGCTGTCCTTGTTCTCAATGTCCTTGTCATGGGCAAACTCTATTTACCCATGAGACTATTAACTTAACATGTTACTCCGTGGTTTGGTCCATAAGTGACAGAAGGAGTAGCTACTGTAAACCTGAAGCCAGGATGACTACAGGTCAGAGCCACAGTTACCTTTAAGGCCACCAGACTCAACCTGCTGATAACAGGTTCACAGAACCAAATACGATAACTCACACATTCTTAATCAAATGGCACTTTATGAGAACAAAACTTCTAGTTAGATTTCAGATGCATTTAAAATTTATGATAACATCAGTTCAGCTTGGCAAGGAGTTCATTTTGGCGAGAAATTCATGGTGCACAGTGACCAGGATGTGTGTGTCCATGTCCCATTTCCTCCTGGGCTGATACTGTACAAAGAGCAATATAAAGTGCAAAGAGCATATAAAGTTCAAGGGTCGTGCAGGGGAGGCAGGTGCCCACTCTCCCACTTTACTAGCTGCCACACTTAGGTAGGAACCGCCCTGCATTTCTTTTCTCCGAGCCTGTCCACAGGAAACTTCAAAGACAGGATAGAAGCCTTCGAATTCTAACACACTGACACCTGCAGACACCTGTGACTTTCCTGTTGACCAGTGTTTTGTGTTTGGTTGGTTTTGTTTTTAAATCTTGGATAGCAAAGTATCGAGCATGCCATTGAGAGGCGGCTTCCCTTATTAGCATCTAGAGTATAATCTGAGGTAAAAAGCCAGTCCATGCAAATAAATTCCAGTTTGACACATGAAGAGAAAGGAATGTGATTGCTCCTTTATCTCTGCTGCCAAATTTTAATGCTGTCCTAGTTATGGATTAAAAAGCTCGTGGCATCTGTGTTCTTACACAAGGGTATGCCCTTTCAACTCTAGCACGTTGAACCCACTCGTTGCATGTAGGTCTTCCTTGACCTTGACAGAACAATCATACTTTGCTTTCTTACTTCAGTTAGGATTTTTTTTTTTTTTTTTTTTGACAGCATTAACTATTAAGATAATTGTTTGCTGTTGCTCACTGGTTTTATTTTCTCTTCTTCTTTTTTCTAGGATTATGACAGTTTTTTTGAATCAAAGGAGAGCAACACAGTCTTTTCATTCTTAGGCCTGAAGCCTCGGCCAGCGTCCACGGTAGGTTAACCTTCTGTAGTCAGGGTAGGCTAACCCTCTGTACTCCTGCTTCTGTGGCCACTGTAGTGAACCCTCTGTGCTTCAGAGCTTAGCTTGCTCGAGTGGAACTTAAGGGTGGGTGAGAAGGGTGCACATCTTCTCTCCTAAACTTTTGAGTCTCTCGGGTAAATACAGACTGTAGAGTTAAACACAAAATGTTTAACTCCTTTAAACTCCTCCCTCTAATTTTTAACTTCTTTAAATCAGAATATTAGTTTACTTTTAATTTATACACTATACTTGGAAGAGGAATTTAAGATAGAAAAGTAGGTGGTTTCTATTTAAATTATAAATTCACATTGCATTTTACTCTCTGTCTGGATCTAACATTTGTTATTGATTTGGTCTCAGATTGAAAATATTTGAAAAAAATATTATATCTGTAGTGAACATGTACAGCTTTCTCCTGTCCTTATCGCTGTTTGTTATTTGTTTGTTTTGAGACAGGGTCTATTCTATTCTGGAACTCATTATGGCGATCAAACTAGCCTTGAAGTCACAGAGATCCTCCTGCCTCTACCTCCCAAACACTGGGCCTTCCTTTCCTTATGTCTTAAATAATGTGGCATAAGATTTGTTTGTGTAAATTTATCTGTTGCGCATAGCATTCCCATATGGGCAGATATACGTGGGTGAATTGCAGGAGCTGTGTACTGCAGAGACTAGAGAATTCTAGTGTGTGTGTGTGTGTGTGTGTGTGTGTGTGTGTGTGTGTGTGTGTGGTGTGATTAGAAAATTAACTTAGGCCTATTTTTTAAAATGGGAAAGGTGTAAATATGTATAAAATAAAATATTACAATCATTACCCAGAACTGACCACAGTGACACTTTTCCATTTTATCTTTACAGTCTGTATAAACACAGTAATTGAGCCTTAACTCAAGTTGGGTCTCATTCTGGAGTGTCTGTTTTTAACACAGCTGAACCACAGTGCATTATGGGAACTTTGTAGCAGGTCCTTTGAGGCTGCCTGGGATAGGTACAGTCTCTGGAGCACCTGTGGGAGGAAGGCGGAGGCCTTCGATAATAGAACTCCTCCAGCAGCACCTGGGGAGCAGAGCTGCTGTGAAAATGCACTTTGCTTTAGCATCAGCAAGCCTGCAGATGGGTTGTGGGTGGTTCCTGTGCACATGCTTCTTACAGAGGCTCGCCTGCACAGAAAGTATTTACGGGTTCTTAAAGCTATTTTTACACAAGTCAGACGTTTGAATATTTGTTAGGAGAATTAGGTTATTTGTATGAAATATTTCACCCAAAGATATTAAATAATCCAGATTTATCTTCAAAGAACTGGGACAGGGTGGGGGTGGGGGCACACTGGGACAAGGGTTACCAGATGGCAGTTGGAACTATTGTCTGTGTCAAAAGTCTCATAGAAAAGGCTGTGTGCCTGCCATCCTTGGTCTCATGTCCTCCAAAGGTACAGATTCCTTGGATATGTAGCAGGCTTTTACCTGTTTGTTGTTTTGTTTTTTTTTTTTTTTTTTTTTCTCCTTCTTTTTTGCCATTAGACAATGAGGCTGAGGTTGTCGTTCAGTCATTACAGGCTTGCTTAGCATGCATGACATCCAGGTTTGATTCTCAGCACTGGCAAAGCTGAGCAGAGTACAGCACCCCGTTAATGCTAACCCGCAGAGGTGGAAGGGGCAGTGGGGATTGAAAATTAAAGGTCATCCTGGGTTCTGCAGCAAGGCCCTAGCCCAGAACAGTAACTTTTCACACTGGTTGTCATTCATGTAAAGCGCAGTTGACAGCTTGGACAAAATGGTCATAGATGTGATAAGCAGAAGTGACCGTGCCCTCTCTCCCACCACCTGCAGCAGGCACACACAGAAGACAAAGCCAGGAAGCACAGAGGCCCCATTAGCATCTGTAGTTGCCTCCCGCAGTAGGTGGAGTATACTGATGGCCACAGGCAGGCCTGGCTCGACTGGGCTACTCTCCAGAGTGGACAGAGTGGAGGAAGGGCTAACAGCCGCACTGGCTCACGGCACATTGTGTATCTGCTAGAATGTAAAACTAAGGTTTTCCACTTCCCTTAATCTGGGAGAGATGAAGTACCAGGAAGGAAAAACTGAGTGACAGGAGTCAGCAGTGACTGGCTTCCACGCTGTCTCCCTGACTGAGGAAAGGGGGCCCAATCACCGGCAATTTTCAGGTTAAAAAGGCACAAAGTTCATTTAATTCTAACAGGCTCCAAGCAGATCCTGTTACAGAAATTTCTGCATCCAGGTCCCTACCACTAGGAGTGATTTCCAAAATGCATAACAATTGATTGTTCCACATGCTCTTTGCTTCTTGGTGAGACTTGTGTAATTAGGTCATAGGGACAGACAGAGTGGTACCTGGACAGTTAGGATGATGATGCTTTATGCATGACATGGCCATTCTGATGATGTCACTCACCCAGCCTCACCCTTAACCAGCACCTCTTTGTGCCCCTGAGAGGCCACAGCAGTGTTCAGAGGAAGGAGATTCGGTACTGCTGAGAAATGAGGCTTTTCCTGATGTGTTTGCAGGTTGGATGGGTCTGATTGAAATCGAGGCTCTGACTTAAAAGTCAGGACTTGCTCCTGTCAGCCACAGAGGGTTTCTCATCCCCATCTCTGTTCCCAGCATAAGAACAAAACAAAACACTGCCAAAGGCAAATCTTCTGGTCAACACAGCGTAATAACTGTGTCTTTCTCCCTGTTCTGTTTAATAGGCCGAACCTTAGAAGAAAGAGAAGGTGATGGAGTTGCAATTTGGAGCACCCCTGGTACTCAACACATACCTGCTTACCTGATGCATCACTGTGACAAAGCCACATGCACAATCGGAAACTTTGCTTGACCTGGAAGAGTTGTTTTTGGTGGACACTGGAATAATGGGGACTGCATGATTGTTCTAAGCTAATCAGGGCTCCGGTGGTGGGTTATCTTACTTCCTCCTCTGTTTGCGGTTGCCTGGATCACCCGAAAGTAATGTCACCTGCTGTAGTCTGCTTCTTTAATGACTGGAGGTCACCAGTATTGCATAACTCCGTTCCTCTTTATGCTGCCTGCATCACATCCATGAAACCCATTTGCCAGGATGGTTACATCTTTGAATCAGGAAGAAGAAAAACAATGCAAGTTGACAAAGGAGACTGAAGGTTCTTACTGCAGAATCACAAATGCCACTATTCTGGTACTTTGTAATAACACCTGCTGGAGAAGTTAGATGCTCTCGACTCCTTTCTGTTATAGAAACCCTCACCTCTATAAATTCTCCATGCTCCTACAACAGGTGCTTCCAGAACCACCATTGCAATAATGCACTATCATAGCCAAGTTGCAGGATAGAAAGAATTGCTGATGGAAAACATTTCCTTCTTTATCTCTTGAAAGGAGGAAGTTTCACTGTATGCATAAGACTGCTTGAGAAATACTAGGAAGTGCACTACTTAGATAGTAAGTTAATAGAAAGCTTGCTCTGTCCATATGCAAAGGCATTTTCAGCTCTTGTAGTTTACTTACACACACATGCACATATATTTTTAAATGCAGCTCCCCTGAGTAACAGCTGCTTGTTCTATTTTGTAATGGGATTATATTTTTGGAGAAAGGAAGTGCTTGGTTAGATATATTTTGTGAACTGTTCATGAAGTATGATAGAAGGCATCAGTGCTGCGGGGGCTGGGCTTAACAGTACAATACTTGCATAGCACACTCAAGCTGTTGTGCTCAGCTCCAGTACCATGGAAAGGAAAAACAGACACCAGCACTGCCAGCTAGTGTCTTACCATTGTCTCTTTATTCCCCTTGTTCATATTCAGACCAATTCACAATCTCAGACTCTTCAGAATAACACAGGCACACATTCTTGGGTGTGTATGAGTACAAGTGAGATCTCAGAACAGCAGAGACAAGAAAGGAGCTGTGTAGACAGTAGTCCTGAGTCATTCTTAAGACACAAAATCCCTGCTCCCTTTGGGTGGACACTGAACAGTTCTCAAACAGGGCTAGCCTTGAGTGGGATAAACTTGGGGCTGAGTGAAATCACCTGCCCTTAGCAACATGATATGACATTTCACTCTGACTCTGAGAAGGAAATGTTTGAGAAATGGAAAGAGCAAACTAGTGGCCCTCTCTGCCACCCCCCCCCACCTCCCCACCACAAGCTTTGATCAACATTGACTGTTCTGTGGCATATTTGTTTTGAATGCTGAAGTTGAGATCTCAACCCAAGATGTTCTTTCCAGGGAAAGCTTGTCAAGTCATGGATATTACGAGCTAGTTGGTATTAAACAAGATCCAGGTCAAATTCCATTTGATAAATCCCAGGGACTTCCAAGGGTTTTTTGTGGTTTTTGTTTGTTTGTTTGTTTTCTCTTCTAACTGGATATTGTGCTTGAGTTTGTGAGTCTTCTAACGAGACACATTTCTATTAAATAGAGCAATTTAAAGAATTATGAAGTCAGCACAGCTTACATTGATTGAGTCAATTTTTGCCAACGAGTGCCAAGAACCAGTTTGGCAAAGTGAAGTCTTAGCATGTTTTGGATTGTAGGAGCAACATCATGCTTGTGAGACACAGAGAGCTACCAAGATTTGTCATGTAACTTTTTGATTGGCCATGTTGTACCTACCATGACCATGTTAAACACACTGACCAGATGGTGTGCCTAGAATTACTATCACAGTCACATAGCATTTTCTTGCCATGATTCTTTTGCAGGAACACTGGAGAGTCAGCTAAGAAGACATGAGATTAGTGGTAGAAGCCCAGGCTATGGAGTTGCCTGGCAGTGGTATGTGTAGCACATTCTGCGTCTTTACTTAAATGCCTCCCAGTCTGCCTGACGATGATTTTCCTCCTTCTGTCTTCCTTTCCCTCTTTCTGTTGGTTGTTGCTGGAGACACAGTCTTGCTATGTGGACCTGGAACCAACTTCTGCCTCCCAAGTGCTAGGATTACATACTTGGCTGAAATAGTGTTCTTCTTGTTCCCTTAATTGGCTGTCTCTGGATTTGGTCACCAACGTCTTCAAAGCTTAGCCAAGAAGTACAAGCATGGCTGCAATGCCAGAGGCTTTCAAGGCAGTGTTGATTTCCGTGTGGGACAGCAGAATTGAGCTGCTGAGAACCAAATGTGCCATTTTAACGGCAGGAGAACATGGAATGCCATACTGCTAGGTGCCTGCAGACCATTTAGTTCAGGAAATACTTTGCCAAATCCTGGCGGTTTAGTAAAATCTAAGGAGAAAAACAAGATAGTTGGCCTTTAGATGCTAATATATTTTAGGTTTTTTTTTTTTTAATTTTTGGTTTTATAAAGTTAACCCAACATTTACATTTTTATATTGTGTGAATTTAACCATCTAAATATTTTCCTTTTGTTATTGAAAGGTACCAAAGGCTTTTTGTGTTTTGTTTGGTTTGTTTGATTTTCTTGTGGGGTTTGTTTGTTTTTTTCTAGAAATACTTTAATATAGATTTGTCCCTGAGTGTCTGGGTCTGCTTTAGCCTGTGTGCTTGTTTTGATTTCAGCTTGTTTGTATTTGTCTCTCAAGCATTGGGGGAATCTCAGATTTTATATTCTTCACTGAAGGAGAATAAATTCCAGAAAACATGGCATTCTCAAACTGGAGTTGTTTCTTCCTAGTCAAAGTTTTCCAACTTTGATTCTGGAATTGTCTGGATCCTTTCTGTTTCTGCTGCCGACCATGAAGGGTTTGACTGTTACCAGTACAGAGCTCATACAGCCACTCACTTGAGAAGGATACATGTTTTTCTGGGCACACTAGGAGGCAAACACACCCACCTCCCCACTCCACCACCTCCACCACCCCCCCACTGCCAGCAGACCAGGGCTGAGGCTAGTCTAGGTATATTCTGTGGTCTCCTTGAAGGGACACCTTATCCACTCTAGTAGTTTGTCCCATACTGGCTGCACAAAACACTCATGACTTCCCTCACTTGGGCTCCCTTTGAGCCACATTTGGAAGCAAAAGAAAATGTTCCTGAAGGCAGGGGCTGAGGCTGAGCTCACCAAGAAACAACTGATGGAGGGTGGAGGAGCGGTCAAAGGCGACAAGCTCTGAGCAGGCAGAAATGTGTCAGCTCGTGAAACCAAATCAGCAAATAGCTCTGCCTGCGTGTGACCCCAATTCCACCGGTTCTAGACAAACAGGCGAGATTAGCATGGCTGTCTTTTGTGGCAGCACGTATCAGGCCCTCACAATGTGATGGGTCCTGTGTGAGCAGGAGGATGAGGGGAATAGAAGTATAGCAGCAGTCAGTGGCAGGCCAGGTAAGTTGTCAGTACTGGAGGCTGCAGCTTGTCATCAGAGATGTAAATGTTTTTTTTCTTATTAAAACCATCCTGACTTTATAGATTTTCTACATACAGCGACTACATGCCCAGGTACACACATAATCTACCGAAGTATAAAGAGTAATAATAATAACCCCTATATGCCTGCTGCCTGCCTTATTGCCTTTCCTCCTAGGCACCCCATGTGCCCCTCCCTGGCTTTATCTTCTTCCCTATTGAAGAAAGGGAACCTCGCCCTGTATTTGTGTGAATCGAAGCCTTTCTACCCTTCAGTGGTTTGTCTCCATGTATGTATCCATAAAGAAAATAAACAGAACTAAACCAGATACAGCCTTTATTTTTTTTTTCTGGCTTCCTCCTTTTAATGTCCATTGCAATGAGAACTTTATTAAAAATTATTCTACTAGATGAATATCTATTTTTTTTCCTCCAGTTGCTGACCATTGACCATTGCCTTGAGGATTCTTTTGTACAGGCTGTAAGCGGAGAGCTGTCTGTGCAGTGAGAACACACACCAGCCTTAAGGACGGAGTCAGATGGGCTTCTCAAGCTATAGTACCAGTTACAAGAATGCTAACATTTTTAGGACTACTGATCCGAACCAATCTGTGTGATTGTTAGTCAGATTTGTGCCAAGTGTATAGTGTAAATGGATTTGGCTTTTTAAAAAATCAGTAGTAAATTGTAATGTTTGTTATGGGATTCCTGTGTCAAACTTTTTGGATATTTAGGTATGTTTTTAGTATTAAGTGTTCTGTTTGTATCATTGGGGATTAAACCCAGGACCTTCCACATGCTAAGTAAGCATTCTACCACCGAGGCATTCCTCTAACCCATGAGTTAGCTCTTTTAGTTTGCATAATTTTTTTAAAATTTAAATATATTTTAACATTCTTACATATCAATCCCAATTCCCTTCCTCCCTCCCATGCCCCCTGAAACCCCTCCCACCCCATTCCTACCCACCCCACAGAGAGGGTGAGGCCTTCTAGGAGGGGTCAACAAAATTTGTCAAGTCATTTGGAGTAGGGTCTAGGCCCTCCCTCCTGTCTCTAGGCTAAGAGAGTATCCCTCCATGGGGAATGTGTTCCCAAAGTCCATTCCTGCACCAGGGATCCATCCTGGTTCCACTATCAAAGGTCCTGTAGACTGCCCAGGCCTTCTAACCCATGTTCAGGAGATCTGAGTCGGTCCAATGCTGATTTCCCAGCTATCAGTCTGGGGGTCCATGAGCTCCCCCTTATTCAGGTCAGCTGTCTCTGGGTTTCTGTAGCCTGGTCTTGACCCCTTTGCTTATCACTCCTCCCTCTCTGCCACTGGATTCCAGGATTTCAGCTCAGTGTTTAGCTGTGGGTGTCTGCTTCTGTTTCCAACAGCTACTACATGAAGGTTCTAGGATGGCATAGAAGTTAGTTATCTCATTATCAGGGAAGGGCATTTAAGGTGGACTCCACTGTTGTTCAGATTGTTAGTTGGGGTCATGAGATGGCTCAGCTGTTAAAGGCTAGGCTCACAACCAAAAAATACAAGAGTTAGCTCTTAAAGTGAAGAGAATCCAGGAGTAAACAGTCTTCTAAAGCTATTTCCAGCAATATGAAATGCATGTGAGTGATTATTCTGTTTTCAGGAAATAAAGGCAAGTGTGCTGATATATCCTGTCTACTAGCCGTGAGATGTGCACAGGGACGTCTCTGCTCTAGGAGGCATTCCTCTCTGAAAGTGTCTTGAGGCTCATCAGTTTGTTATTTGGCAGGAAATCAATGTCATTAATGCTATCATTCCATTTGCTTTCCCAGATTTCACCAGAAGGAAATCTTTATGCAGACTTTATAATCATGTGTGAATGTTTGCTTAGGATGTCAACAGAAAGTGGGCCTGTACCAGTGGGCCAAACATGATTTGACACTTAAAAGAACAAATGAACAGGGGGAAAAAGAAAACTTTGCTAAGTCATAGGGGCTTGCATTGGAGTTGGGCTCAGACTTGGGTAATCCCTAGGCTGAGTAAAGACGATCCAAGTGATGTTGAGCATAAACCAGCAAATGACAGTGGCAACAGTCTGAACCTGCGGTGAACTACAAGGAACCAGGACACAGGCTGTGGACACTGATGTCTTAAAGTGTATTAACAAATGTGTTATATTAACAAAGCTTGTTACAGTGAATAGGATAAAACTCAAGAACTCATTATAAAAACAGACCACTACATTATTAAGCATAGCATGGGGCCCTGTAATAATAAAATCATAACCAAACCTTCCTCTGAAGAAGCTTTAGAGCAAGTGTCTGTGTACGCGTCACACAGAGGGAAGCTGTACAGTTCAGAATGGTGTCATCCACTGTCCCAGCGAGCCACGTGAAACACTGAGCCCCTGAAATGTGCCCGCTTGGGTTTGTGACATGGTCTGAGTGCAAAGATATTTCAGGTTTTACACTAGTATGAATATTTAAATGAACTCATGAATCAATTTTGTATTGGTTACACATTAAAATAATATCCTGAATATATTAAGTTGAAAAATAAGATGATCGTTTGCACCTGTAAGTGTGGCCACTGGGCTATTGTAGATTACATGTGTGGTTTTCATGGTTTTCCTGCCGACAGCACTGCTTTATATCAGTCTTTTTGCTTGAATTTATGATGGAGAAATATTTCCTAAAATTCCTTCTTTATAATACTGAAAGAAAATTCGAACATTTTGGGGAATGTAAATTTCTGATATAGCTGCCAAAATGACCTTTTCTCATTCTGCCTCCCCCCCATAGCTTGAAGCACTTGTAGTGACGGGAGAGTCTATTCTGGACACCAGCAGTGCCGTGGGTTGTCAGAATGCTTGACATCTCTGTCCAGACATCTGTTCCCCCTGTGTCCCAAAGCCCCAACACCTCCACCCGCCATCTTACAGCGCTCATGTCTAGAGTTGCCCAGTGTCTGAACTAGGTCTTGTATTTTCTGTTTTCAATGAGGAAGTAGTGACGCACACAGGTGCCAGCTATTATTTGCAGAACTGTGGTAAATGTTCCTGGTACTTAGCCCTCAAATCCTCAGTTATCTCCAAAGCTCATGAAAGAAAGGAAGGAAGGAAGGAAGATATACATATATATATTCTGTCTTTTGAACATCTCTTTCTGATCATATTGCCAAAGATTAAAACAGGCTGCCTAGGGTTTTAAAGAACATTTTGCTATTCTCTTAGAATGCTAATTTTGAGGTAAGCTTATAGTACTCATGCCATTAAAATAATTGAGTGAAGGATTTTCTTCTTTTTATTACTTTGGGAATCTTCCTTGTAGTGAGAGTGAATTAGTTGAGATGCCAGTCATTTGCATTGCATTCGGTTCCTAATTCTGTTGCTTTAGGGCACAGAATTTGCCTGTGGATGAATTGCATACTTGTGTAAGATTTCACTTTCTTAAGTGGGGGAGCACCATGTTCAAGGTAAACATTATGGCTAATCTGATTTGTGGTATTAATGTTATTATCCCATTTCTTTTATCTGTTTAACTTCTCTGATTTTTCTCCCTACCAATTTGTTTCATAGCATGTACTCTAGCTAGATATTAATAATTGGGGGTCTAGGAGAGTCCAAAGCTTGGCTCCGTGATGGATGCCAAGGACAACAGCCATCCCTGAAGGGCCAGCAGTGTGACAGCAAGAAGGCGTACCCTTTCTTCTGTCTCTTCCCATTTTTGTGGTAAACCACTCTTGATGTGCTCTCGGAAATGTGGGCACCAGTTATCGAGGGTGACCAGATGTGAAAGAGCAGCTCTCCCATCTGGGAGCCTGGTGCAGCTGCAGCTCCCTCTCCCCACCCCCCCACCCCCCACCAGGTGTTCCCCCCTCCCCCACACCCCTTCCCCAACCCAAACTCAGGTGCCCTAGCAGGTGTGCTCTAGCACTGCACATAGGCGAGG